CAAGGAGCGGGCGTTGCATATTGTTGAGTATAAAACGATCAAAGCCAAAATGCAGACTTGAGTCTTGTTAGCAACCATTTTACTTGTTTGTATTGAAGAACAGATTAGTTATTGTATGATACGAATAATTTTGTAATGATAGTCTCAGTCTTATATAGGCATCGGGGAGGTAGGAGAGAAAGAGAGATATTAATGAGAGCAGACTTGTTTTTCTTTCTCAATACAAGGTTGGACGTTTTTCTTTGGATAAAAACAGACATGAAAAAGGGATGTCAATTTCTGATTGGCAATAGCATTTAACCACTTGCGTTTTACCTTGGTAAAAAAATACGCTTGTTGTTTATGTTAATATTATTCTATACACGCAACAGAAGCATTTGTGAAAGATATTGCTTTATATTGATATATTTTTGGATTACGTTTTTATTGATACATGTGTTTAATGATATGCAAAACAATTATTGCTGATCTATTGTTCTCTTGCTTATATTTATCAAGGACATGTCTACAAGATTTGAAAAATAAGTATTGCTAATCTATTGATTGGTTACATAAATTTATCGATAACATGTTTACGTATTATGCAAAACAAGTATTACTCTTCTATTGTTCTCTTGCTTAAATTGATCAATGACGTGTCTACTATTTGAATTATTAGCTCTCATATAGATACGATTATGACCATGAAAATATATGACAGCTAGACACAAGTATTCGATAAAGAAAAAGAAAAAGAAAAAGAAAGAGAACGAGAATGATACGATTAATATGAAAGTAACTCATGTGTGACCAAAATGAAAGTCATATACAAAAAATATCAAACTGGTGAGTGATGATAAAATGTTCAATAAATAATATGGATGTTACTTTTTGTTTACTTTATGAATAAAGGTAAAGATTTAGTTTATTTACAAAAATAAAGTTAGAATAAAGAATAAAGATACATTTTTCTCTTTAACCCATGTTCTTTCTTATCATTACCATGATTTCTATATGCTGTATCATCAAAAAAAAAGATCACACAAAAAAACGATATATACGAAAACTATTATTTCATATTATATTTAGCTATATAATATCACGATAGTTTGTAAGCTATTCCAAAGAAATAAAAGATTACGTTTCAATAGAAAAAAGTTCCTCATCTTTTATTTTATCTTTACATTCGAAAATAAAGCAAAATTTCATCTTTATCTTATAAGGGTAGTTTTGTTAATCTCTTTATTTTCATTTCTTATATGTATTATACATAGGAAAACATTAATATCTACAAAAAAAATTTGTTAAAATCTTCATTCGCCTGTACCATCATTACTATACTTCACTCAAAGAAGAGCAGTGTTTATAATATATATTAAATAGAAAATAATAGGCTATCATCAGTGAACAATTGATATATACACTCAGATCAGACGTTCCGGCGCGGAACTGATCGGATCCGACACCTTTCGCCGATTTCTTGACACGGTATTTCGGACCGGAAACTCGTGGAAGTTTCACGTCAGTTGCCCCCTCACATACCGATAGAAAAACACAGAAATACTCCGGCAGATGCCCCACATTTTACCATTGATAAATGAAAAGCGGAAACCTAAACAAACCCAACAGGTCCCCCAAACTTTTCCGATCAACCGGTTACCGAATTGTTCCGTATTGAATCCAAAGATCTCTTCTTCATCTACAGTTCTATATCAGATTACAATCCGTCCCAAACTTCTGAAGAAGTATTGGGCATTTTCAAACGTGATTCCTATTATTATTTTGACGTAGGATTATTAATCCGATTATCATCGGCTCTAAAATCCTGCAGACTGATAGGACTTTTCAAACTTGCTTGATATTATAATTGTGGACTAGGATTATTAACCCGATTATCATCGGTTCCAAAAATCCTGAAGACAAATACGACTTTTGAACTTGCTCGATATTATTATTGTGAACTAGGATTAATAACCCGATTATCATTAGCTCAAAAATC